GGCCCATTAATTTTCTTTTTTTTTTTTTTTTTTTCCTCTTTTTTTTCTTTGTTGTTTGGTTTTGGGGTTTTTTTTGTCCTGCCTGGTTAGTCTCTAGGGAGCTGCCATTGAGAGTGCTGTCCTCACTAGACGCAGGGCATCTAGAAGTCACTGGTTTTGATGGCTTTTTTGGACATATGATTGGGGGGAGTATGTCTGTGTTGTGGTTCATCTTATCTCCAGTAAGACTGCTGCAGAGTTTTGAGAGAGACAAATTGCAGCTGCTGAAAGCTGTGGCGCTGTGTTGGGAGTGGGGAACTGTAGGGCAAGTTTCCCAGCAAAGCTGTTAGCTCATGATTTCCATAGGCTGCTTTTGCACGCTCCCTGTTTTCAGCCTCTCTAGCATGAGACTTGTGGCCAGCTCCCTGCTGACTCTTGAGCGAGGCCGAGCTGTACTGCGTGCCTTTTTATTTCTCAGTCCTGAACAACATCTCTGCGCTGCTTGACCTTGCCATTTAGAAGCTTACAAGCTCCTCTCCACCTGACTTTGAACAGAGAGTAAAGACTCCTCGATAGGATCTGCATCTGAACAGACCATATGGACAACAAGAAAAGAAATAAATATTTTACTTCTGCTTGGTTTCCATGGCATCCTGGAAAAATTGCTCTTGAACTTTGAGGTGCTATCCTTCTAGCATCTCCTAGCATCGAGAGAAAAATGAAGGTAACGCTGATTGTTGTTGGCTGCTTTATTTTGTCTGACAGCACTGGGCGAGCACATTAGGGTTTGGGAGAAGGGAGGAGGCTAAAGTGCTTTGAAGAAGCCAGCCTTCTATCTGTATTTTTGCCTTTGTAGGCAGTTTGTTGAGCATGTGACCAGGAAGAAGTGTGCCTTTAGAAAAGGCAACAGAAGCATATACTGTTCATAAAGATGACTTGTTGGCCTGGCACTCTGCAAAACTGGAAGAAACTAGCTACCAGCCCTGAAACGAGGAATGCGCGGCTCAGATGTTAGGCTATGACAGAGTATGTTTTGTACCTCACGTTCCACTCTTGCGTCCCCTGTGGACATCCTTAAAGTTTAAGCTGAAGTAAATGGGAGTTGTTCAATGACTTTTTTTTTTTTCCTTTTCCCACAGTGTTAGAGAGGTTAATTGTATCCTGTGCCTCCTGCTTTTCTGGCTATTTTGATGTGTTAATTTTTTTAGCATGCATCCATTTCTAAGGAATGTTACTTAAGTCATTTTCCTCTGTTCAGATGCTGCCTTTTGTATTTGATGTAATGATTTTGAATGTATGGTAGAAAATTCTATGTAAACTTTATTCATAAAAGGGTTCTGATTATGAGAAGTTGTGTAATGGTTCCTGGTTTATATTCCACTAAATATGCATATACATAAACATCTCTTTCTTGGATGTAGTATGTCCTGAATGTGTGTGTGGGGAGGAGGGAGGCAGGGAGAGAAGGTACAGTTACTGTTTTGAGCAAGTAATCTTTCTGTGTTGCATATGCTTGAAGAAAAAAGGTCTGCTTTTGGATTCTGGGGGAGAGGGTAGACAAGGCGCTTTTTTTTATGTATGGAAGCCCAGTTGCTTAAATAAAAGTAAATCTGAGTGGTTTTAGACACTTGGGGAAGCACTCATAACTGTGAGAGCTGAGTGCCCCAGCTGCCAGTTTTACTATTGTTTTGTTGAGTTTGTACTGAGAAACCTGTGCTTTCACTTCTGTAAGAGCTCTCTTCTGGAGTCCAGGGCTCTTTTAGACATTACTCAATATCCTTTTCCTAGACTTCACAAGCTCTGTTTCTCCTTTGAAGAATGGGAGAATCTGTTAGCAAACTGCCCACCTGAACTTACAACATGTGTAAATATACATTTACTCTGATTGCCAATACTGCCCTTTAACAGAACTTTCCTAGGGGTCTGCTTTTCTACCCAAGTGTCTACCACAGAATGGTTTCCCTGGAAGAATCTTGTCCAGCTCCTCTTAAGGATGAGTGCCACTGCGATCTGTAAATTGTTTTTAAGAGGAATTCACACTTGTACTTTTTATTTGGCATTGGTCAAGATATTAGCTCATCCCTTCAGCAGGTGCTTAGAAGAAAAAATCATTATTTCTTACAGAATTACTGAATCTTTACATACTCTGCTGCAAGAAAATGAGATCAGGACCTCTGTTACTTCACGTCATTCACAAGCAGGAGTGAACTGCTGTAGCTTTGAGTCATGCCATTTGATGAATGTGTATGCCTGGTTGTGTACATCTAAGTGAGTAGATGACACTTTGTCACTGTATGGGATGACGGAGACGCAAGTTAACAGATTGGTCAGTTCTGCAGGGATGCAAAATGACGTAGGATTCAAAGAGGAGTAGGGTAGAGATATCTCATAACTTAACATTTGCCTTGTTCCTGCAGAACTCTTTAATGCCTTCTAAGTGAGCATAGTGCAAATAACCTTTTCCCTGCCACCACCAGCATGGAGAAAAGAAACCACGAGCAACATACATTCCAGTAGTTGAAACACTTAAGTCAGCCAAACTACACTTTATGGTAAGCTTTTGTTCAGACAACTGGCTGTACAGCTGGCTGAGGTGCTGTTTGCAAAGACAATTTGGATTGCAAAGATAATTAGGATTGCTACTGGCTGGTGCATAGGCATTTTAGGGGTAGTAGGGAGAAATGCTAATTGCCAGTATATAGAAAGGACGGTCAAGTCAGGATATAAAAGCAGCTACACATATTTTCATTTGAAACCCAGACTTAAGGAAACCATGAGCAGGCAGATTTGGTAGGAACTGTCATCTGTGCTGAGTATGATACTGTACGTAAGCCAGTGAACTTTTTTAATTGCTGACTTTGATTCATCTGTGTGATGCTTAAGCCTTTCAAATCAGTCTTTCTTGTTACTGTTGCCTTCGGGACCCTCTCTAAGCTAGCTCCAAAGGTTTGGTATATCTCCCTCCCAGCTTTATGGGTTCTTGAACCCCAGTTGTGTCAGGAAGAAGATAACTGATAGGAGAGGAAGGATTCTGTTCTTTCCCCCATCAGTCAATCCTTTTCTCAAAGTTACTGTTGGTGGAGTAATGGGGAGTGTCCTCCCAGGAGTGCAACTTCAATCCAGCTACACCAGTGATGAACCAGAGCCTAAGTCAATATAGTGGTGTTCCTGTCCTGGTTCCCTGCTCAGTATGTTGCTGTATCAAGTCTTGGATCTAAGATCTTCCGTAGCAAGATTTAAACCAACCAGACAAAAAAGTTAGTATGCAAGGTACTGATATTCAATCTATAGACTGTAACCTGTATTCTCAGGAAAATTTTACAGAAGCAGCCATAAGCAGTGGCATTTGCACATTTGTTATGAGAAAATGGAATTCCATAAATCTACCGTTTCTTACTGCTATAACTCCATTTTGGGTAGCTTGGTGTAGCTCTTGAAGCAAATTCTGCATTTCTTTTCTGCCCCTTTGACAAAAACTCAGTCAAGGTAGTAAGTCCTGTAAACGTTAGGCTGGTATAAAGGTGTTTGTGTGCAAAGTAACTCCTCCAGTTCAAGCAAAAACAAGATCTTATTTTCTGTTGCTGCATTTTTCTTGTTTAGTCTTTGTAACATGAGTAAAAACAAATGTCAGTCTCACATCAGTAGGGAAGATGGTGCATAAGAATTCTAGAATCTGAAACCTAACTTTCATTCTTGTCTCCCATTTTAAAACAGATAATGGGGTACTGCTGCAGTTTACTGAAATTATTTTTCATTTCAGTCACAGTTCCAGCACTGCACATGCCTCGGAAAAGGTAGGGACAGACAAATGAGATTCAGTGGAACAAAGGCTTGTGATTGTAAGATGCAGGAGAAAGAGAAATGGAGAAGATTGCCTTGAACATAGGCTTGCATACTTGTTAGTGGCTGTAGATTCTGAAAGATATGAAAGATTCAGGAAAAATGTTAGGAGTTCAGTGTAATATTTCACAAATAAGCAAGTTTAATGTCCAAGACTGTTCTATAATAATTCCTGAATAATACAGGCTTGGACTAGCGTGATGCAATTTGCATTTCAGGTCTTATTTGTTATCTTTCTAGTGCTACCACTTCAGGTAAAGAGGAGGCTGTCAACTGAACTCTCTGCCTTTTAGCTCCTTTGGAGCTGTTCCACTTCTTTGCAAGACTTTGAAGAAGAACGTGGAATTGTAGTTATATAAGAATTGTGACAGTATTCAACAACTTCTATATAGGGTTTCTGGTATTTCATGTGGAAGTATCTTTGAAGTGGTTCTGCCTGCTTTCATCTGATGTCATACTTGTTGCAAGCACTTCATTTAGTAGAAAAAGTACCTAGAGCGTGCAGCACTGCAGATACTGTAAGTAGTGTTAGTGGTAGGATAGTTGCTTTGTGCCTTCTCTCTTGCAGCAAAAACTGGTCATAAATTCATAGCAGCAACAACCTGTAATATACAGATTACCAGCCTAAGCATGCGCGTGACAGTTTTGGCGCAGATAAGGTACTGTTTAAAACTCTGCTGGCTTCGGGTTCTTTCAACTATAGCCTCAGATAAAACAGCATCTCTATAAAACTGAGTATTATTGACGAGACCTACCACCTTTATC